AAACGCTAATCTCAATTTAGTAAAGACTTTTAATAAAAATATGTATATATATATATTTTTTGCTACTATTTCATTTGTTTAATCAACAATAGGGATATAAAATCTGGGTTTACTGTGCCATCATTTCGTCCTAGAAGAAGAAGACAACTTTATTTAAAGATTGAGAAACTAATATAACTGAAATTTGTTAGTTTATAATTTGTAAATTTTACTCGAGCAGATATTTTAGTAAATTGTTAAAAATTTTACGATTTAATTGTTACAAAATAATTGTTGAAACAACTGTTAACAATTTAAGATTAGAGATCTTAAAAATCGTACCATTTGGATGTATATATGTATAGAAAATATATTTTCGAGTGTATATCGTAAAATGTAATCGAAGTAATGTGTGACATAAATCCAGTATTTACGATCAAAAGTACGTATATGCTTTTAGAAAGACATTTACAAATGACACTCGTAATTTGTGAAAATTTAAAACATAATTCTCTGGTACATGACATTACGATTAATATTAAAAGGATTGACAGCCTTTTTTGTTAGATTTTTCGGGACGTGTGCAGGAAAAGGGAGGATTAAAGCTGGAATGTTCCCCTTTCCTAATTCCGGGATTTGTCAAGTTTTCCAAAGAATTGCGTCTGCATTGAAAACGATGACAAATCTTTTAACTTATTGTTAACACATAAGTTTGTATACCGCATACAATTTAACAATCAGCAACGTTATTACACTGATAAATTGTGTTGTTTTTTTTTGCTACCACGTACTCGTATAACAGATTGAGAATTTCGAAAATCCGGTGGCAGTTCAGAGGAAAACATGACATATTTTTGTAACCCACATTTTTATAACATATAGAATGAATGCACAGGGTAAACGGATTGTTAATGACAATGCGAGGAGGCATGGACACATGGAGATTATGTGCTTTCAATAATAATGTGATATTTTTACGAAAAATGTCATTGTGGCAGATATTGTATGCTGATTGGGAATGTTTTGTAGATTTCTGTTTTACTGAAAAAAATTATTGTTCAACAAATTCAATGGAGATCTGAGCAGATTCAAGCAAACACATTATCAATTGTAGAAATCAAATGGTACCATATAAAATAAACTTGATGAATATTTTAATTATACATAATCGGGTGCAATGAATCAGTTACCCAATCAACTTAGCTAGGTGTACATTTCGATTGATATTGAAGAATCGAGTTTCCAAAAATCTTTTCTTCTTTCGTTTTCGTTTTAGAAGCGGTGCAAACAAACGTTTAGCGTATGTCGTTCCTACGATTTCTGAGACCTCGCGAATTCCAAAATTGGCATCCCTCGGCCACAAGAATCATTTATAGTTTGAGTCATCGGCTCGTGATCGGTACATAAAAGTAGTTACGATTCGGTTACGACATTCCTCGTGTCTTTATTTAAAAAAAACAAAACAAAACAAAAACATATCAACCAATTCGCGTTTCAGTTTCTTCGATAGCGTTGCACGTTTCATTTTGCCAGGCCAGCGGAAAAGCAGTTGCACAATGCGCTCTTTTATTAATAGTTCGAATTAAAGCGAGCCGAACATCGGAATCCGATCTTAATTGGACGATGGGTGACTCCGTCTCCGATTCTGGAGGTGCTATTTCTCGCGTGGACCAAAAGTTCGAGTCGAAACACGAATTAGACGGGATCGTGAGATAATTTCAAACGAAAAGCCATGTTCGCACGATGAATTTTTTTGATGTCTACGAGGCCCGGTACCGTCCTTCGAACTATTATCAATTCGATCATGTGATTATGCGTTTACGCTAGTGTACAGTCTTGCGACCAACAGTGTTCCTCATTCTTTATTTAATTCTATCCTAAATATCATAAAATATTAGGCGTATTTAAAGGGAAATAATGAGTTAGCCATCGAGAAATTAAATTGTTCCACTGTGGGAATCGGTAATGATCCATGAGACTTGAACAAATTATTTTCCATTCGGCATTATTGAGGATAACATTGTTGTACTTTGTTGGTGATGTGGCTGCTAGAGATCAGTATAAATAGTATGGGGTATAAATAATTGGGGTAAATATGATTGAATCATCAATATCTTATATATTCATATATTATGTATTAATATTAAATTCTTATATATTTCTTATGTACTAATACAATTCTTATATATTAATATTAAATCATCACAAATCATCAATATATATATATAATGGGGGTAAATAATTGTAAAGTGCAGGTATTCGGATGTAGTGAGAGAGAGAGAGAGAGAGAGAGAGAGAGAGTACCAAAACTCATCAAGTGGGAGATGATACCACTAACGAAGAGGGAAGTGGGGACGACGTCTTTAAATTAGAGCGCATTTTAAGCCGTCTGCACCCATGCTTCTAAGAAAAAACGGTGCCAGGCTCTATGAATCTCTATGCATTTAGCAGCGGTTCGCAACGTGAATGAAAAACGACACATTAAAAAGCCCTTAGCATTTCTGCGTGCCCAGTCGAGGCAACAACTATTGCCCGAAGGTCGGTCGCCGTCTTCGATTCTACGCCGAGAGGAGAATCGTACGATTTTCCAATTTCTGGGATCCTCTGTCCGCGGGATGCATCGTGATTGATCATGCCAAGAAACGAATTCTATTTCTCTGGGGGAGATACGCCGTTAAGTGGCGCGTCACGTTTAATATTAGGATCAATTAAAATTAGATTCGACTGTATTCGACCGTGATTTTTACTCGGCTGCAACATTCTCGAGCGTTGTACAATCCCGCGAGCGATCGTGTGTGGCAATCGACGATTCCCCTTGGATCTGCCAAGCGGTATCAAGAGCGGTGTGCCGTTGGTCAACAGTACTGTCGCCTGACCGATTAACTAATTGCGACATGGAAAACGACGAGCACGAATCGCGTACGAAATTTTTCGCAGAATGTTCCCCGCCGAGAAAATTCGTGGCGAAGGAAAATTTATTAGACAACCAGGTTGAACTTATGATTTTGTTCTTTGTACGATACTTAACGATCGATCGTTAACACTGAAACCTCCTCGTAACACCGGTTCTATGCTCTAGAAATTTCGATTTCCTCATGTTTGGCAGTGCGTCGAGGAACTATGCACGTTCTTACAATATTCGATAATTTACGTTCCAACTTTTGTTCTGTACAATGCTATTATACAGCCGCGCAGCTAATAAATCAAGCTACGCGCGCAAGAAAGAAAATATAACCAGTAAGTCTTGTCCGTATGTCCTAAGGCAATTGTTCGTCTTCACCGTTGAATCTACGATCGGTTACGCGTCGAGCATATCTATACATAATGCATGTATCTTTAATTGTTTTCGCGGAATCATCGATTAATCTTCGGTACGCCAGAGATGAGATCTTTTTCAGAATTTCATAGCACGATATTGGAAGTTATTTTATCAACTTTACCGTGCAATTGCGTGTTTTTCCCACGATAGAGATTTCCAAGTAAGCTATTGTATTAGTTCGAATCGTTCACACCGCCGTGTCGCTAAATTTATTTTCACTGTTATTTTTATATTATACAATAATTGAATCCGGATGGATTTGAACCGCATACTCTGTCTGTCGAGTGTGATCACGAGGTAATCGTCTATGGTGATCGGATACCATGCAACGAGGCATTTCGAGCAATTTTGTGAAGTATTCTTGTGCATTCAGAATATTATCTGTTCGGTAAATATGTAATGTACGATGATGTTTAACGGAGATCGCACTGTCCAAATTGCGAGCGTGGCATTTCTTTGGCGTTTCTTTGGTCGAGTAATTTTCTTGATGCGGTGATTAAAAATGAACGGAAACCGATTCGCCCGAGAAAAGTACAGGAAAGGGTCGACGACCGTAAAATCTTTTAGTATTCTGCGACCTCTACACGATACATGGGGCCCCAACTACGATTTCTGGTAAAGTATGTAACATGCGCTGCATGCTGACTCCCCGATCACTATAGTTCTAGTAAAAATTGATCTTCGAATGAGCATGCAGAGTCTCGCTGATCGATCCGAGACGATCCTTTCGCATATCTTTTATCGTTACCAGGAATTTTTGATGAATGCACATACTTTCCTAGCTGTTCATTGTAATTAATCATGATCGACGAAGTAGCAGAAAAATAGTCTCTTCAAAAAAAAAACGATTGAAAAATAAACAGAGCATAGCGACGCTTCGACGTTAGCTTTTGTGCTAATTAAAAAAAAAAAAAAAAACAAAAAAGAAAAGAGATATTATAGTATCTCTCGTTATTTCTGCCGACGATGCGACTTCCGGCGAGGCTCGACCTTGCATGGAGCCGGTCATATTAAAATAAGCACGAATATCTCAATTCAGTCGAACTAACAAAATGTATGTACGATGCCGTTCTTCTTACACAAGAAACTCTAAAAATCTATCGTTTGAAAAAAAATTTGTATATCTCCGAGTCGAAGTTCAATGTTTCTAAGTAAATTCTGACGAAATGTTATGCAAATTTCTTGCACCGATCCAACGCAACGTAAATACGTAGATGCCTGTGTCGGCATAAATCTCCACCAACATGTATCTGAACAACAAACTCCTCCATGCCGGCATCTTTCCTGTACTAAACAAAATGCATACAAAATGTCATCAAGAACATCTGTTATGTTAACGACGAACTCTTTGGTCATTTCAAAGTAAATACGAGAACTCTTCATCCTTCGTACCATTACATGTGTAACACTACAAATGTATACCCTTAGCGTAGAGATGCCTATATAACTGCACTCCCATTTGAAGGTTGCGTGCTTCCAAAATGATGACCGTTCTATTCTATTCACAGGTACCCTGGAATGCCTGGCATGGAAGGAGTCATCGGCGCCTCCGGACTCGTCCAGCAGTGAAACAGGAAAGGACACGCCACCGGAGAGCAACGTGGTGCATTTCACGGTGGGCGAAGGCTCCGAGGAGTCTGTGAAATCGTACGGCAAGGAGAAGACAGGGATAGTTCGTTCCTACAGTCAGGACACCAACATGCTCCTGGCCATAGAGGACAAGACTACCTCAGCATTCCTGTCGAAGACATCCTATTCGGAGAATTCGCTGGATTCCCCGGTACCAGAAAGGTCGGCGCAGCAGAAAACCGGTCAGTCGTCGGCCGTCCCAACGAGCACAACAGCGGCGATGACGACATCGTCGAGCAGCCATAAGAAACCGCTTCGGGAGTTGTCGACGATAATGTCCGTCGACGACGAGACGCTGTCCACCGACTCGAACTCCACCACGGACAACGACGAGTTGAAACGGAGACGCAGGAAATTCCCCCAATTCCCTCCGTTCAGGAAGAATAAGGCCAAAGTCACGTGATGCTCGTCGCCATGCTAGTCATAACATAATCGTGCATCGTTTATTCCTTACTTAATGCTAACTCTTTACGATTAGTTGGTAAACCGCGATGTGCACTTAACAATTAATCTTCGAGAACCGGTTGATCAATAATTTAGCATATTAGATTACTGCCGGGTATGTACATATATTTCACGGAGACAAGGATATATATATACTTGGTAGAGAGATATTTGGTAGCTCTGTGGAACATCCAAGATCGGTTGGTCCTGCGAACTAGGATGCGAGATCGATCATTGGCGCATCGTTGCTCGTTTTAATAGCTTGGACATGGTGGTCAATGAAACTTGGCGAATGCGTTAAATGCTGTGATAGCGTTAAATATATAGAGAAGAATATATCAAAAGTTACACTTTAATTTATATATAATATCATCGCGCTCTAAAAAGCTATAGCTGCAAGTATCGACCTCTAAATTTTGGAATTCGTTGAGCGTTATTACCTACTCAAAGTCTCTTACTCTTCCGCGGATGCTGTGGAACAGGTTCCTTAAATTGTACATTGACTTTCCCGCGACGTATTCGCACGCTGTACATTGATGTATGTATTATAATAACATATTTTAAGAAGAGTCTATATTGATAAAGGATTGTATATTATCAGATTAGATGGACGGGGGGTTGCTGTCACGAGGATGCGCCAATATCAAAGCCGATTAAATAACGCAACAGTTCTACCGTGATGGAAACGCATGGTTAGATAGTCAAGATTGTAATGGATCGTAGGACCAACCGGAAAAGAACTAAATTTCTACAAACGATCGTGTTCCACTCGGCTACTGTCGCGTAGGATGTTTTTGGTGCCCCGGTGTGCTCCCACTTTGCCAAATGTTTACTTTGAACCGCGAACCAACGAGTACGGGTTCGCCGAGACACCACCAAAGCGACGTGTCCGACCTAGCTAGATTATTAAGCTCACGATGCCGAAATTGTTCAGTTAAGACAATACCTTGGCTCAGGGATGGGCGGCGACCAATCGTATCCGAAGCTTGATATCAGCTCTCTTTGTCTCTCTCTAGTTTCTTTCTTTATGCTTATTCGCGCCATCTTTTCTAATAATTGTCCTTAGGCTTTTCTTTTTATTCAGATCTATAATGTCTCCAGTATTTTACGTAGACACTAGAGTTATGCTTCGGTAATAATTATTTTGTTGTAGTAGCTTCTAGGGATATGTTCCTAATGACAACATAAATTAGCGATAGGCTTTAGCCTTTAGAATAACACACGTAGAGGCTTACCACCCACTCCATGCTTATTTAATGTCTCTCTAAACGAAAAGAATCTCAATCGGTTATTTCCCATTCGATGAAATATCTTTAATACTGTGACGTCTTCCAAAATCGTTGAAACTGAATATCCTAAGATCTGTTTCTTATAGTCTCTCTCTCCGATGAAATGAACCTAGAAATATGTTTTACGACTACCTTTGGTAATAAGATTCTTCATTATAGTATTATTACAAATACATTGAAAATCAAATACACTATCATCGTGCTTCCCTAATGAATTTGGGCTAAGGCCCAATGATCATAAGTTTGCAATTCTAATTAATCGAATCTAAGCGAAGTTTAGAATGATAGCACATTTTTTTTATCGAAATGTAAATATATACAAACCGTTATAGATTAATCAAATTCTCTCCATGATTATCAGCTCTGGCAACATGACTCATTGCGAGGCTTTTAATTGATCGTCACTTGTTCTCAAGTAACGAAGAAATTTATCGAGTTCATTCCTGCGTCATCGCGCTTCTTCTTCGTCGTCGCTCAGTCTCTCTGAAATAGTCTCTCTCAGTAAATCTGTCCAGGAATTTCTGAAAAATTATCTTCTCTTATTTCTCCATGACTGTACTAGGCCTAAGTCGTCGACGATGCGTTCGCGCGTTCGTCGTTATTTTTTTTTTTCTTTGCAGAATCTCTAAACAGAATTCCATTTTCCATTTGGTTTACAAACTATATTTCTCGCTTAACGATCGCCCATCCCTGCGTCGAACCATACGAGACAAGTTCTCTCGTGAACGAAATTCTAACCGCCAAGGCTTCCTGTTTCTGTTATTTCTTTTTTCACGATGGTATATATACAGTAGTAGCTAGAATGAATTTTTGTCTCTCACTTGTTTTCTATTTTATCAACTGTCCTCAGGCTTCCGACGTTGTACAGGCCGAGCATAAATTCGAAGCTCCTCTGTAGTTTAATCTTTCGTTTTTAGTTTGTATCTGTACGTTTTTTTTTTTAAGGCCAATCTCTTATCGTGACAAATTTATTCCTCCGGTTCCATCCGAATCTGAACGCTTCGATTTAATCGCTACCAGTTCCGATCGAACCGAAGGTGTTTAACGTGGCAACCGGAAGTCGACAGAGTTCTCGCAGGCACGCAATATTAAAAGAAAAAAAAAAGAAGAATTCCGCTTGGAATTTTTCGTGCGTTTCCGTGAAGCTGAGATGCGTACAGATGCGCAAGTATTTGCGTGCGTTACAAAGTGACTGATAAGGCGTATACGATAAGGAAACCCGCCGAAGAACATTGGGTAATCCCATGGACACCATTGTGCAACGTACCATAAATTTCAATCGGTTTCAAATATTTAACAAATATCTTATATATATATATATATATATATATATATATATATATATAAACCGTTACCGGGCGTCACGTAATTTCTTTATAGTATTCTTTCTAACATCAAATTGAAATGATAACTGATGTGTGTTTGAAACGGACAGTACAGGGTGGTTTGCACGCCATTGTCAAAATAATGTTGAACATTTACAAGCGTTATCACTGGCTGATACACCAGAGAATATTATCTATAGGATTGCCCAATAAATCGAACGAATTAGTCCTTCGCAGACCCACATACTTCTAATCTTCCGAGGTCCAACGGCATTGTCGTCGTCGTCGATGGAATTGTAAATAGTATATTACAAAGCAATAACTCTCTAAGGTTCTCATTTTATAAACAAATTTATAAGTATTATTAGATGTATAAATACAATGTTCGTTCACGGTAGGACCTCGGAGGATTTACAATCGCATCGAGAGTAAAACAATTTGTGCATACCCCGTACGCAGACGGCTTCGAAGATGGCGATCGCGACTCTTGAATTAAAATGAATGAAAAGGCATTTTATGGTCGCGTAGTGATTTTTAACTCGAGCGTCGTTTAAACCTAGAACTTCTTCCTTTATCTTTTTTCTTTTTTTTTTTAACGTCTCGACCATTTTATCGCGACACCTTGTTGTACTTCACTTTTAGACGTTAGAAAGTTAGAGTTAACTTATGGCTTCCCCCCCCCCCCCCCCCCCCC